CCCTCGAGCGCGGTACTACATCCGTACAACTTGCCGTGATTGTCCGATGTTCTCGTACCAGATGCTTGTCCGTCAGCCGATCGTTCTTGGCGCGAAACGTTTTACCTGCCGAGAACACGCCTATGCGTATGATTTCGTCATGCTCTCTCTCTCTCTCCCCCTCTCTCTCTTTTTCTCATTCTCTTTCACCCCCTCCCGCTCTCTCGCCCCTCTACATTTCCTCTCTTCCTCCCCTTTACCTATAGCCGTGTGCTAGTATGCAACGTAAACGACGTAAAGATAAATGCACCCTACAAACGTATTATAATCAAAGTACAAAAAGATGAAACGACACCTTTCTATTTGAAAAGAGGATACTTGTCTCGTCGTTCGCGTTCGTAGTATTCATGATTGAAAGCGATAATACGTTCAAAATATAATATAGGAAACGAAAGAACAAAACGAACGGAAGAAAATAGTGTATAAAGTACCGTGCATCGAATATAGTGGGATAAGACGGAAAGTAATTAAAAAACGTAAAAGAAAGAGAAGGATAAGTTTGATGCGTCATCGTACTTACTCTTCCGAGACTGTCATTCTTCCAACGCGGACAAGCGAATGCAAAACAGCGTAGAAACGAGGCACGATCTAAACGAAACTATACGCTTAACCGATCGAGAAACCAATAACTTCTTGGTACATCGAATAAATTACGAACAACGTGATCTTTTTTCCACTGGAATATACCGATGAATATTTCAGAACCGTAGAGCAACAGTTCTGCGTGAGTTGTACTCTCACGATAAATCGTACTCTTTATTTTCTATCTTTCCAAGTACGCGCGTGTTTTTTTTTCATTCCGATCGCTCGATGCTGTAAGAGTGTACAGTACTTGAGAATTCCTCGAAAATTAATCATTTTTCTACGCAGAGAAAAGTTTTCTTTCAACGATCAAATAAGTATTCGATTTTAGCGTAATGGGCCCCGTTACCGGGAACACTTTCGAGATGTTCGCGAGTTTGGCTCAACCTGCGACTGCGTGTACGAATCCAGCATTTTTCTTTTCCCCTGACCAACGTTGATTTCCGAAACGGTAAACTATCGATATCGTACACCAAACAAGTTCAAAACAAACGCCACACCCAACATTTATTCGCACGATCAACTACCGTGAATATCCTAACGTATCTCTTGCCGCGTAATTACTAACGTACTGAACGATGCAAACGGACTCGGAAAGCTTGGGCCTCAAGAGTGGGAGAACACGTTGCCTCTTGACATAGCGTTTTCTTTACCGACCCTATCTCTTTCTCTCTCTCCCACTCTCTTCTTTCAACCTATTTCTACCCCTACTTTCCCTTCTTTCTATTCACTAGTATACTCCACGATATAGCTTGCTCCGATCTGATCCGATTCATTCCACTCCGTTTCGCTCCGTCCTGTTTCGTTTCGTTTCGTTTCGTTTCGTTCCGTTCCGTTCCGTTCCGTTCCGTTCCATTCTGTTCCATTCTGTTCCATTCTGTTCCACACTGTTCCATTCCATTCCGTTCCGTTTCCCCGAATTTCGATCGTTTCAAAGCGTTTTGCAGAAAAATTCGACACGATAAATAAACCCTTGTAAAGAAGATTTTATTTTTCTAAACGAACAAAGTTATCGCGATATTATTTTCTCGCGACTTCTTCGTTAATTTAACGTTACGTAAAGAATTAGGCGATATACGGGGAAACACTGATTGAGTTCGAAAAATTAGTTACGATTTAATGAATCAGCGTTACGAGATAATTATTTCGTGTTTTCATTTACTCCCTTTCGGCTTGCGAGACATAAAGTTCATCCTTATGCCTGTACACATCGGTTCGTTGTAGAAACGAATCTAATTTTCGTCGTACGGCTTCACTGGTAACTTCGTTACGCGTTACGTCGTTAGGTCCATCTAATAGGACACAATACCTTTTTATTTTCTATACTGCAACGTAAAAACATTAAGTCGATAAGGCAAAATAAATTCTAGCGACATTTTCACGGGGCACCGGCCTTTTATTCCCGAGGCTATTTCGGCTCGATTCTCGTACAACATAAACGATCGTATAGTGTAATATATCGTACCCTAAAAATTGATGCGTTATAAAAATGCGGTTCGAGCGACATATTTTTAACCATCCAACACGACACTACACTGTCGAGTAATCAAACAGTTTCATCGAGTTTATTATCCTTAACTAACCACTTCCTGCTTATTTCGTTCGCGCGAATATATCGAACAAACGTATACACGCGACTGTATTTTTACGCGAGTCCTTCCTTCCAAAACTTCCAAGTTTTTTTCTTTCGCATTAAAAAAGTTTAGTAATTCTATTTTCTAAATAGGGAGGACCATACACGTTCGCGCGCGTTCGTAGGTACATACATAAGTACGTTGTACATATATGTACAAGGTACACAGTCAACATCGTAACGGTTGCATCGGTCGATCCGTCTTATTATCGAATCAAAGTTTTTTCAAAGCTATGAGTAAAAGGCAAGTGTAAGAGAAATTCCTAAATGTTTCATCCATGAATACATTTATTAGTGACTTTTATTAAAAAATAGATTTACTATTATCGATCATCTCGTTTCCACCGAGTGGAATTTATTTATCGTCTGCTGAAATCGTAATATGTACACCTGTTACATTTCGTTATCGTTTCTAAGCAGACGATCAATTTTCTACAAGCTGACAACGACGTGCATCGAGCAATACGAGTAGAATTAGAATTTCGAGAGATCAACGATCAAAAATCAACATTACGCGCATATGTACAGATTTTTTTTTGTAACAAACAAAAAATAGATTAGTCGTGCGATTTGAACTAATACGACTGAATCGCGTTTGAAATTCATCGACGTTTTATCTCCAACCGGTACATCGATGTACGATCGTTAATTAAATTTATTCTTTTACTTTGTATTTGTTAGAAAATTTCAAGATCGGAACATTTTAGCAAGAAAAGAAGCTAAAGACGAACACGTTGAACAGCTGCAAAGGAAATATAGTACATACACGAAGAGGTTGCACGCGGAATACTCACCCTACACGTAGTACACGGCACATACCAAAATACATACTCGGTGTCTAGACCGGTTCGAGTCATGTACGCGTTATTTGCAGTAGTAACGCGCAGATCGTGGTAACAAAACTACTCCTACTAGGATTACGCTTTCAAAAACGAAGGAGGAACCTGTTCTTTATCGCTTTTTTCGACTACGAATCTGTTTCAATTCTCTCGTACTCGTACACGAATAGAACACGCTATTTTAATCGGTAACGTCGACGCACAATAAATAAGCTTCGGCGAATGTCCACATTTTCTAAAACAATACTTTGGTTAAATAATTGTACGATAAACCGATAATAAAATCACGCGATTTCGACTCGCAATGAATAATTCGCGCCTGCTTTTTTTCCATTTATTCGCTTTGCTTCTATTTTACTTACATCGATCTTTTTCCATCGTTTATTACAAATTTTTTACATTTTTCTTATAAAAAAATGTCAACGTTTCTCGCGCCATAAATTTAACCGAAAACTTACTGTTAAAAATTACTGTTGATCCAAGACGGAAAAAAAAGGTACAACAATTGCATAATAGGAAAAAATATTCATTATCCGCTAATTCACTTCACTGTTATTATCCATAATATGTATACACTGTGCATCGTACGTTCGCGCGTATGGTGCGCGTGTGCATGCATGCACGCGCGTGTTTACTCATTAGTCGACATTCCTAACAGTGAACTAGAGCTCGCTTGCTATGGTCGTCATCATTGGGATCACCGATTCCAACAGGTGTCGCATCATCCGAACTGATTCAAACCTCGTTTTATCGTATGTAACCCGAAAAAAACTCGAACTGTGTCGCAAAAAAAAAACACTGAGAAACAAAAAGGATGTATTTGCACGCGTAAGTATAATAAATGTGAGAAAAAAAGAAAAATTTTCACCTAACCTTGCTTCAGCTTTCGAATATAATGATAAGCACGAAAGCGAAGACGAATCACGCGTAACGACATAAAAATATATTGAATAACCTTGTTAAATATCGATATTTATTTGACGAATAAAGTATACCTCGACAAAATGACCGATGACGAGAAGTCACAAACTGGATATTCTACAGTTCCACTCGCCAGTTACGTTTTGCTGTCATGGCTGTCAGCCATGTTTACTTATCGAGGACGTTTTCATACACGAGAACGGGCGTTAAGTATTTAGATTTGAGGTAAATATTAAGGATCATTCGTTGAAACGCGTGCGAACACAATTTACAAAACATAATATTCGACACGAAACGATATTGTATAACAGAAAAGTTGAAAATTTGCCGCGGTGTGCGGTAACCTCGTTGCAGGTTGCCAAGCGAAAGAGCATATCAGCAAAGAGATAATGTTCCACGTGATGATGGTGTCGTAGCGAATAAAAAGAATGGAGGATGACATCGATATTTACGAAGATTTATCGAATTTCGAGACAAAAAGCGGCGAAAACGTAGGTATTACGACGCGTCAATTGATTTCATTACACGCGACTAGGTTATGTTTCGCTACGAAATATTCGTAGACAGACGTTCGCACTCGTTAGGAGTTTAACGTGTTACGTTGTTTCAGTTTGTAGGGAAGAAGGAGGAAGATATCGCGGGAGGCGAACAGATTGAATTAAAGAAGCGAATTACAGAACTGACGATAAAGTTGGAAGATTTTCAAAAAGTAAATGAAAATCTTGAAATGAATTTAATTTCGTTATTGAAAACCGCTAAAGCGGAAATCGCACGGAAGGACACGGTGATAGATGATTTAAGAAGAAAGTAAGTACGTTCGAAGGTTGAAAATATTTTTCTATTGTCTGGACATTATTTTATAAGTGCTGATGTAATCGTAACAGACTGGAGAACGCAGCGTTTAGGAGAGGCGTGTATTCGAAATCTGACAAAGATGTCGTTCATGATTCTACTGCTCGAAACGATGTGGTGAACAACTACCAAGCATCGAGTGCTCCCCGTGTATCCTTTGAGGAAAACGAACGCGAAAGCTCTAATTGGAATACACGGTATCATTGCATTAAAGAACAACAAAGAGAATCAACGTTAACTTCTATCACAGTGTTTAGTGAACGATTACGTAAAAGGATCATGGACGAACAACGTCTAGAAAAGAAAGATAATAACAGTGAACGCACCGTTACTGCTACTACTACTGCTACTCAAGCTACTACTACTACTAACACTGCTATTGCAACTACTACTACCACTAATAATAATGATAGTAGTAGTAGTAATAATAATAATCACGACAACAAGAGTAGTATTAAGAAGAAAGAGGGTGCAGAAAAGTATATAGGCGAAAGCGACAAAGAAAACGGCTCTTTCGTTAGTAAAAATTTCTGTAACGGTAAAAGCGTCGAGGCTGGTATCGTACGATACACGGACTTAGAATGTACGAAAAGTCTTGTAGCTATGTCAAGAAGTAGAAAAAATTCTGAAACAGAGGATAAAAGCGAAATAGATGGAAAAAGCAGGGGAACATCGTTGACCAATGTGAAACGTATAGGAAAAAGAACACGCGAAGAAACGCGAGAACGCGATTCCGTGAAACGAAGAAAATTCGAAGAGGGAAAAGATTTAATAGAATCGACGAGGAAAGAATGTAAGAGGAACGCGAGCGAGTTAGCGGAGGAAATGGGCGATGCATTCGAGTATACGAGTTCGGTGATCGAATGTTCCAGCAGTATAAAGAAAAAGCGGCATATTCTAAAAATTTGGGACGCGGGCTACGCTGATGGCAACGATTCGGTTAGAAGAGCGAAGAAGCAGGAAAAGGAGAAGGAAAAAGAAGCGCGGAGAAGGTCAAAAAAGGAGAGCGAAGCGTCACGCGAAAAAAGTGTGACGTATGGACGTTTCGAGATGCGACGAAACGAGTCCAGCGAAAATGTTATATTCGATTCGGACGAGAGAAACGCGAGCGATCGTTTTCTCGAGATCTCGAAGAAATACAATCATCGAAGTAACGTCGAATATCGAAGTGGTAAGAAAAGAGAAGATCGTTACGCCGTCGGTGGCGTCGACTATCGGTCGTTTCGCTCGAGAGAAGCAGCATCGCACGCGAAGTGTCAGGAGGGAAAATACGTTGGAAGCGAGCGTACGAGACATACCGGTTACAGCGATAAATTTGGAAAGCGATACGATTATCGAGGCGTCAGCACGGATAAATCGAAGACGGTACACGAGCAATTGTATGGTTCGCGAGATACCAAAGAACTGTCCAGCCTCGATCGAAGTTCGATCGATAGGAAAACGAACGGCTCGAAAGAAAATAATCGTTACGGGAGATACGAGCGTCGAAGATCAAGAGGAAGCATTGACGAAGTTAGTAAACTCGAACGGGGAAGAGAAAACGAGTGCAACGAACAAGATTTGCGTCGCCGGATTAATACGGAAAGATCATCGAGGGAACGCGTAAACGAACGGGAAATTTTGAGACGATCCGACAAGAAAAGCGATCGAATCGAACGAATCTTCGAAACGAATAATGAACAAATTAAAGATCGCAAAGAATCGGAAAAGCGCGCGAACGAATCGCAAGATCCATTATCGGATTTAGAGGAGGGTGAGCTGGAAAGTAATTGGGAAGAAAGCGATAAGTGGAAAAGATGCGTGAAAAGGGAGAGCGGAGAGAGTATTGAGGAACCGTTCAATCCTTCGAACGTCCATAGCAGCAATCGTTCGATGAAACAGAACCCGCTCGAAACGGAGAAGAATGATTCTGGAAGTGTCCAAGTTAACGAAAGCGTAGAAAACCTGGAGAACATTGAGAAGTTTATTCGCGAATTGGCATCCGATGATTTAAATCGTGAGGGAACGCGCGTTATGGCATCGGAAACGGGAACGGGAACGGAAACGGAAACGGAAACGGAAACGAAAATAAAAACGGAAACGGAAACAATTGGTTCAGAAGAGGCGAACGAAAATATGCTAGTATCGTCCGAGCAAGGTATCGAAAAGAAATCCGCCGTTGACGACGACGTTAAAAAATACGTGCCTGAAGAACAGGAAACGAAGGAGAAAGAAGAATCGTTCGAAGCAGAAATCAGGCATTCCGATATTTCGAAGAGCGAGAATTTTCTTGGAAACGAGTACTCCGCGAAACAGACCTGTCGTCTAGAAGTTGGCAAAGTTTTGTCGACCAGAATGACATCGAACAACATTCATATATCAAACGAGACAACTAATGAAACATCGCGGGATCGAGCCGAGACAGATCGTCCGCTCGAGAATATTGCCGAGGACGATCTTCTTCTTCTTCTGGGCAATGAGTCGCCACATTCTCGCTTCTTTATTGATCCTTCGAGATCGACGGGAAAAGCAAGCAATGACGAAGACAAAAATACTATGGATATCGGTAATAGTAACGGTAACCACGATCACGATAACGAACAAAAAATCGATCGAAACGATTTCGCGAATTGCGTAAATGTTGAGAAGAAGGGGGAAGAAGAAAGGAAAGAAACAGAGGGATCAAAAGAATGTACGAAGTTACCGATTCGAAGAAAGGACAACACGAGCACAAATTCGAAACTTGCGACGTTGAACGTTCATGGAAAAATAGTCGTATTCGTTCGTCGCAAAAAACCTGTTTGCTTGGCAGATAATAACGCGAATATGACCGTAATCGTAAACGACAAGAAACACGAATATAAGGCGATCGATTCGTCTGATCGCGTTAGCGAAAGCGATGCGATGCTGTGCCGTGACTCGAATTCGAAAATAGCGGAAACGGCCGACGGTGAAACAAGAAAGGTTAACTAATTGTCCTTGTAATCGATTATCTGTACGCGAACCAAAATTCTGTATTTTTTTCTTCTTCTTATGTTTCTATTTAATTTCATTCGTTTATGAACAAACGATCGCGTACAATGGAAACTACGTTCGATTTGTAAGAATTGCAATAGAAATTTATCTATGTAAGAAAAGTTGCTACTCGCGTTCGGCTGCTGTTTGGTTCGATTACACAAACAATAGACTCGTACAAATTTCTGTAAATAACGCGTGCGAGTGTGTATATATATATATATATTATGAAAGAGCTGTCTTTGTACATAAAATGGTTTATTTGTCAAATCGTTGATACGTTAAATCATTGTTACTTTTTCAATCCAATAGTTCTGAAAATCGTTCACCGATCATCGAGACTTCATTACCTTTTCATATAGCTCAACGAACGTAGATAAATCTAACGAACGATCCCATAGAATTCGCGATGAAGAAGTCGCGAGAATAATAAAATGCAAGAAAGACGAATTTGTCCGAAAACCTTGAAATTTTGATAACGATTACGCGCGTTTCCAATAATTACCTTGTGAAATGGAACCCGGTGAGGAAACGCGATGCTTTTAAAATTACGACTACTTTGTACGATATCTATATTGAACGTTGATGAGCATATTTTGAAAAATCCCACCCAATTACGACGTTCGGGTGTAGGGAGTCGCGTCGCGACGCTCCATACATCGTGCGCCGTGCGCCGTGCGCTGTCGCAGTCGGAGTCGGCCGAGAAAAACCGAGAGAGGGAGGGAGAAGAAAAGAAAGAGAAAGAAGACGAACATCGATGTCGGGTGCACGCGACCGTCGCTATAAGATTAAAATAATTGTTAAGAGCGCTCGCGAGAATAAATTTCGGAAATCTGCAAATATATATAGTTAAAAGGAAGCTAGTCTTACCGAGAGGGTGTACGTACGAGACGCGCAACGAATTCACGGGTATCCTCGCAACGTTCGTTTGTTCGTTCGTTCGTTCGTTCGGTCTAGAGGCCGAATCGAATCGATTCTTCCGTACGACGAGCTACGCGTTCGCGTTCGGTTCGTCTCGTGAACGGTCTCGCGCTGTCGTCGCGAATTATGAGTTCGATTGTCCTCAAATCTCTCTCGGTTCTCCTCGGTATATTCTTTATTTTCGTCGGTACGATGAAATTAACTTCGCACATTAGTAAGGATCTTCACAAGGATTTGGTGAGTCGTACCGGAACAAAGTCTTTTTGCAATTACGTAATTCATCGATTCACCCTATCTCGCGTGCTCGATTCGTAATTCGTCCGCTGGTGACATTCATTTTTATCCCCTCACTGCCCTTCTATAATTTGCGCCTCTATTACTCGAATATCTTTTCTTTACTCTTGCTTTGTATTCGCTTTCGTTTTTTCTTTTCGTTATTACACGATCTCGCGCGAAAAGTACGCTTCTCCCTCGTGCTTACTCGCCGCGTTGCTACATAGTCGTCGCGCGTTAATCATGCTTCACCCGTTACTCGACGATCTGTCAACTTTCTTTATCTCTCGACTGCCGCGAACGCTAGCTTTCTCTTCTCTTTATACCTTTCTTTATCGTTTCGACTCGACAACAAATAATGATGTTGCTTTGTTTATCTTTTGATTATCAATCATCGTCCGCGCAAATCGCGAGTATTCGCTTATGCACCAGACACGTGCTCGTACGCGCCTTTATCCTCCCACCCCTCCGATTTTTTTCTCTTACTTTTTTTCGCATTTCTATTCGACATTCTTTACGGTACATTTGTCGAACTATTTGTGTACGCGAAAAATGTCTATATTGTTTATTTTTTAAACGAATGATTTTCGAAATTTCAGAAATTCGAGAGGAAAAAAAAACATGGACACCCATCACCTCGGTTGTCGATCAAATATTTTTACTTGAAAATTTTCTCGAATTCGTTGGTCACGCGGTACGCAAACTTTTTGACCAATGCTCGAATCATTGTTTTCATTTGACAGGAAAACGTATGCCTTTAATCTGTTTGAACCGAATGCGCGAAACATTCATTTCTTCGAAACGTATAATATAAAAGGAATTTTCTAAAACGCGAAGCAAATTGAATTTAATTCGCTCGCTTCGACGCGCCTTGTGAGTAGATTATTTTTGTCTCTTGTTATTAGCCAATGTTCGAAATTATAGTAAACCGTCGGCACAGCGGCTTGGTGGCGGGCCAAATATTGCTTCGAGTGCCAGCACGCGATGTTTACCGGATTAAGGAATCGCGACTCTTTTTTTCTTTTACTTACGTCTGACAAACGCGTTTCTCCTTCCATTCTTTTTCCTTTTTTCGTTATATTATTTTTGTCATCCAATCAGACGTCACAATCAGTCCCGCACATCGATATGTTCACAGAGAAAGGAGTACGTGAAATACGCAAAGGTGTTTCCACTTTCTGGCACGTTGGATTTTAAAGTGCCAAGTAAATGGTACAGAAGAGTCGTCGGATCGCTAGAGATCATTTGTGGATTTACAATGGCGATATTCCCGGGCTGTAAGATATCCGTTACGACGATTATTCGTTAATTAATATTTCTATATATTTTTTAATTCGATCATAAATATCTTTCGTTGTTTCGTCGCGTGGCCATTGTTATCGTTATCGTTATCGTTATCGTTATCGTTTTCGGACATAATCTCCTAATATATTGTTTCCTTTTTTCAGTCAAAATAAAAAACGTATCAAACACGATTCTACTTTTATTGATGTTCTTGGCCGTGTATTCTCATTATATGGTAAACGACAAATTCGAAAGAATCGCTCCGGCATTGGTAAGCAGAATGGAAGCAAAGATTTTTCGAAAGACTGCAAGATAAACGACGGTTAAATTCGATCGTCTTTTCAGGTATTTTTTTTCATGCTGACGGGACGACTAGTGATCGATTGGCAGCTCAGGCGGGAGAACGCGCAACCGGTTACGGCTAACGGAGTGGACGATAAAACCAAGAAACAGGACTGAATTCTCAGCGTTCGTTAGAAGCTAATCACCGACCAGAGTGAATCGATTAAAATCCTCTTCGTTTTAAACGACTCCTGTATATTTCGAGAATTCGTATGACCGAACATCTACTTTTTGCACGTTCTATTTGCGCGATCGGTTTTCGCGGCTCGTGTATAAATTCCCTCCATCTTCCTCTCCAATTGTCACATCTCCGTCTCTCCAGTCCGAAAAGAACCGTCTTCGCCGTACCAAACCGTTTTGTACGAGATTATTCGTCGCATCGGTGAAACGTTGATGTCGTTTCGATCGATAGATCAGAGGGAAGCGAGCCACCGAGGGTCGCGCGCACGAAACAGATATTAATTTATGATATTTATTTTACCTTATTTCTTTTGATTTTTTTCCTCGCTGTTTTCCATTTACGTATTATGTACGTGCATCGTTTCGTTCAGAAAAGAAAAGGAAAGGAAAGGAAATTCTCTATATCGTATTCGATGCGAATCTTTGCTCGAAACGAACAAAGGCGAAACAGGAAATGATCCTCGACGGCATTTATCTTTCGTGTCCGACACGTGAATTGGACGAAACGCGAAACACGAAGAAAGTTTAGTCCGAACGCTACAGAAAAATAATTGTACCGAAGGAACGTGCGAGAATAAGAAAGAACGGATTCGCGATAGGTTTAGCCGTGGTTACCCTTCAATAACAACGATAGATTTCTATTGTTGATCTAATACCTGAAATGATCGTAACAACGGTTACTTTTGCCAAACATTTCAACCTATACTTGGCAAATATCGAATTACAACGGAATTTTCCTCTCTCGCGTCTCGCTTCTCCCTTATCAACATACACGCACTGTGATCGCCGGTTTTCACTTTGACCAAAAAACCATAGATCTTTATACAAGCGAACAAAAAATTTACAGTTTTTCTAGAATCCGTAAATATGCACTCGCTTCGTGGTATCCTGTTTTTAACCGACTTCGAAAAAGGAGGAGGTTACTCGATTCGATCAGTATATTTTTTTTTTTTCTATTTAGATTACGCCTAGCTGGGTGGACCGATCGGAACGAAACCTTTTGCATCTGGTAGGTTCTCACTCCCCATTGGTACCATTATCAAAAAATTTTTCATTTTTTAATTGCAAAGTATTGTTATTGCAAGAAAACCGGCATCTTTTGAAATAAACTTTTCTCGATTTTAGTGTGCTTTTAATATCTTATCACGGACATGATTCTGAACAATTTTGTTCATATACAAATTTC